TGTTAAAAATAAAAATATAGAAGAAGCAAATACAGAGGAGAATAAAAAAGAAATTTCTGAGGACAAGAATATAAACGAAAATGAGGGAAAGCTTAAGAAGGAGAATTCAGAAGACCTTGAGGATCATCTGACTCAAGAGAAAGGTTACTACAAAGAAAAATCGTCGATAGAACACGAAACGATAGAAGTATTCAGCGACGAGAATTCAAAAGAGGACAGCCAAGAACACGTGAGGAACTCACATAAAAAATACAAAAATTCTTCTAAAGAGATTGTATCGTATAAAGAAGAGAAAACCAAGAAACTGAATGACGAAGGAGAAGAGGAAAGCAAGGAGTCTCAAGAATATTCGACTATAAAGAGCGAGGAAATTAATTCCGAAGAATATTCAACGGAATATCAGGAGTCCACTGAAGCGTTTTATGGTAGCACTTACGAAGACCCTGAAGATGACTACACAGAATCTGGGAGTTTCGAGGACACGACTCTTTCCTCGGAACGTTTCTACTCTGAAGAAGAGCACGAGTCTTCCTTGAGCGATCAAGAAGACAGTACGGAAGGGGTCCTTAAGTTCACAGACGAACTGCCTAAAGAAAAGAAGGAAGACACTTTGGAAAATGGGAAATCATCGGATTCGGATGAGAGCATGGTGCACGATTACGTGGACGATAATTATGAGCCTGAGAATTACAAGGAACGCGAGTCTTCAGATTCCAACAGTTTGAGCGACGAGAAAATTAATAAGGAAATGATGGCTGATGGTAGGACAGAAGAACACGAGAAACCAGTGGAAAATATCGGTAAGAATGAAACGACTGAGAGTCCAAAGAGTGTCAGGATAAGAACGACTACGACGGTTCGTCCTACGCCTCCAAAATTGTTCAAACCGATCGCAGTCAGGAAGAATTATAATTACATTCCACCAACGACGACACCTAATCCAGTGGTCATCAAACCTAGACTCAGTTTGTTAAACCCGAAACCAGCAAAACCACCTAAATCATATAACGAGTTGGTACCAAAGCCTGTAATCAGAAAATTCCCATTGCTCTCTCGTAAACCGACTACTACGATGTCGACTACGACTAAGGAGGAAGATTTCACAGAAACTACAGAAGTAATAACCACAGAGGCGATCACCACTACTGAGGCTAGTAGGAGCGAGGAAAACGTGCTGGAAGGGAAGCTAGAATCAACGAACGATTCTCAATCAATAATTAACAGTGATTTAGTACAGGAGAGTCATTTGAAACCGATCAATGATTCCGAACACGAATACCAATTAGAAATGAAATCTGAGACTAAATCGAATGATTCAGAACAATCGAACGAGAAATTGTCAGATAATTCAGAACAGAATGATCAATCAAAACCAGATTCTGATTCAAAAGACGAGGATCAGAAATTGGAATCAGAACAAGAAATGAAATCAAAATCTCACAATGAATCAGAATATAAAATCGTCGACTTAAAACAAGAACATGAAACTCCAATAAAATCTGAAGACCAGGACACGAGTTCAAATGAACAGAAGTCTTCCACTAATACAGAAAAGGAAGAAGCCTTCACTCCTTATCCTATATCCAAACTATCGACCCTCGCTTCAAGCATTGAAAAAGCTCTTAAAGAAACTACGAGTACAGAATCTGAAAAATCGACTACTATTAAAAGTTCCACATTGATAGACGTAGAATTAATCAGTACTACAATTCCCCCAACGACTCTGACTACCACTGATCAACCTCTAGAGTTATCTACTATAAAAGAAACTACAGAAGAAGCAGAAACTGTTCAAACCTCTACTACACCATTTGCAAAGCCCACAGAAGG